ACACTCTGATCAAACCCCTCAAGATCAACGGGCACAGACAACATCTCATGAGCACAATGAGATATCTCGAAAATGCGAGCCGAGATAGATCTGCCCTCGAGGATAATTTTGTCATAATATGGCGGATTTTAATCAGGATTGTTTTACGTAGACTTGGGATAAACAGCTTGACCTCTAGACTTGAAGCGTTTTTTTTGTTTGTTTTTAACTGTACTTTGTAATTTTACCGTGCTCTAGTTTGCGTATTTTTTTCTTGAATGTGACGTTGGTCTCATCTCAGAATTATAGCGGCCTGCCACGAACCAAAAATAATAAGAATTTTTGGTATGAACGTTTGAATTTAATTGAAAATGATTAAAACTGGTGAGGTAATTTACACCAACTTCTCAGTTTGGTAAAATGGCTGGATTTGAGATTGAACGATTGAGGGTAAGTAGGCAGGAGTAGAGATGGAACGTTTTGGGTAAGCTAGCAAGAATTCAGATCGATCGTTTGAAGGTAGCTGAACTGTTAGCAGTTATGTAGATCGAACTCGCTGGTGAACAGCTGGTAAGGACAAGTCTTAATTAACAACGCTGCTACATATACTACTGGAAAACGCCGACTCCGCTAACAATTTAGGGATTCTTAGTACTTTTGTGGAATCGCTTACGGTTTGCAGATTCCGCTTACAGTTGCGAATTTACCAACAGCCCAATTCAACTATATGAATGTTTTGTTATTTTTTTAGAATGTCCACAAAATATTCCGAATTCCTCATATACTGTTGCGGATTCCGCAAACTTGCCTGTTTTTGGAACAATTTTGAGCGATACAGAGTTTTAGCCTTTGTTTGTGGAATCAAAAACAGCAAAGAAGATCAAATAAAAATAGCAGTTTTGCGGATTAAACAGCAAGTCTGATATTGACCTGTTGCGGAACCCACCTAAAACTCACAAATGCACAGTTTGGCCTCATTATGTATCGATTAGTCGGAGTTAGCTCGAAGATGTCTTCAGGTTAATCGGAATGAGACGAAAATTACTAAAGTGTTTGAACAAAATTGATCCAAAATTTACCCACGATACATTTGGATAGAGCCTCAAACATGTTGATAATTTGAATGGAATGAAAAAAAGTTGAGCATGGTTTAATTGAAAAGAAACGGAACAGCTTAGAGGGTATCAATGTAACTTATCGAAAAAGACACTGCACAGAACAAAAGTGTTTGAGTGTCAAATATTTCCAGACGATTCTATAATAAAAGTATGTATTGAAAAATACATAACCCGATTTTTTCTTTTAATGGAGTCTCTAGGCTAAAATAGTTTCTTCCATAAAATGTACGACAATCTTTTTTTCCTCGATCGAAACAAACAATTTTGCGTTTTGCATATCGAAACAACAACTAACCATTTTCTCACACAATGTTGTTTCCCAGGCAATATTATCGCAAGCACAACTATATGATGAGATTTGCCAATTCAAGTGAATGTTGTCAGACTTTTGATCTAAATATTTGTATTTTTTTTGTTTATCAGGAACACTATTTTGAAAAGTTCACTAATTGAAACTTCATCTATTTGAAATTGAGACATAGTAATTACACTATTACACTACTCTATCTAAACCACGTTTTAAGCAAAAACTTGATACTTTTGCGTGCATTTTTTCATAACTGTTTTATTTTAGAATAGAACTGTTTAAGCAACTAAAGTAAATACTAATTTTTTCCCTCAATTTCCTTGTTTTTGCGCAGAATAAATCCTTGTCATATTTTCTTTCATTCAAAAAATATGAAAAATCTGTTCTTCAGGTATAAAAAAATCAATTGTTTGATGAACAAGAAGCTCGCATTCAGCAAAAAAAAAGAACATTTTTCAAAAACTTTGAAAAATAGTTCAACTGACTCCTGACTATTTACTTGCATGGAAAAACTGCATATCATTCACCTTTCAAGAATGAAAAATATATGATAAGCACATTTTCCAAAAAAAAAAATTAAAGGAAAATTCTGAAATGCATTATTTTTGTATGGAAGTCATTTGAGTGGAGTCCCGGGTTGACCTCCATAGACCGAAGATGCTAGTCACACATTTTCATACACTTAGTGTATGGAAAAAAGCTAGTCATACAAATTTCATACATTTTTGCAAAATGAGCTTAATCAAATTTTAAAGGTATTTTATTGTTGTTTTGGTATCGAAATTGGTATCTCCTCATAAAAAAGGTTTAAAAAAATATGAAAAAAAAACGCTAATTATACAAATGCCATATATGGAGATTGTATGATAAGCGTTTTTTAAATTTTTCTGTTAAAAAAAGGTTTGAACAATTAATTCAACTGCTGGAAAAATATTTAAGCGTTTTTTGGGCTGCTACAACTGAAAACTTCGACTTTTTTTTAATTTTTGTTTTCTGAAAAATAAACACTAGTCATACAATTTCCATATACGAAAATTGCATGACTAGCGTTTCTTTAGAAAAAAACTAAGTTTGAAAAAACGTTCCAAAAATTCCAGATTGTAGATAGATAAATCAGCACTTCAATTTTGATCTTGATGTGAGCTGTTTACAATAAACTTTTTCAGACATCAAAGTTTTCAAAAAAATACGGGTGTTTATCCGAGAATCAAAAGACAAAAGTGTTCTTGGTTTTAATTCGGCAAGCGTTGAAAGACTCTACGGTTTGTTCCGACTTTTCAATCAAGGAGTAGGGTTGTTTAATTTTTTCTTTTTTTGTCAAGAAAAATCTTGTATTACGAATGATCATTGGGATAGTTCGTGAGACACAATTTTTGACAGAAGTGATTCAAACCAGGTCGAATATAAGAAAACTTGTCACTATAGAGAAAAAAACGAGCCCGGAACTTTGAGATTGAGTATATTTTCTAATGAGTAGGTTTTACAGAGCCTGCTCACTCGCTTTACCTGCTAGAAATTAGCCTAAATTTTTTTTTCATTTACCGAATTATCTCTGTTTTTTTTTTCTGTTCAGAGACAGCTCGATCTGAATTAAAGTAGTTTTTTGCCTCATTTTGCTGGATTTCTAATTGTTAAAAAATGCTAGTCATACAATTTCGATAAATGAAAAAGTACCAATAATAGACCTTTCATGCAATTTTCTGTACGTATGTATTTGTATGGAAAGTCTTTGACTAGCATTTTTCCATAAATGATAATTGCATGACTAGCATTTTTTGTCAACCCGGGTTGGAAGAATCTGAGAAAAGCGTTTCTGCTGTTTGAGGGTAGCCGCTTATACAGCTGAGCTTTCCGAATCTTTTTTATCCATTTAAACAAAGAGTTCTGATTTTTGGGGGAAAAATCTAAAACATTGATCACATTTTTCCGCCACAGATTTTTCGAAGGCCGGAGACCAAGTGGTTAAGCATAAAGAGACCAGGGAAGTATGTAGGCAGGCACACAAGAATGTAGGCGATCTTTCTATGGCTACCCCCTTTTTTGAACATTGGCAAGTTTTTTTTATAGAAAAACTAAAATTTTTGCAAAAAAAATATCAAAATTTTCAAAAGCGTCTGCAAAAATGAATTGGAAAACCCATTCACGTTCATAATACCTGTTTTTATCAAACAAGAATTGCAGGCAAACAAGCCAAGCAAGACAAAGGTAAATCAAATAAAATTGGACAATTTTACGAAGCGGAAACATGGCCGACAATCTTTGAGAAGACACCAGTTGAGCCGAAAAAAAAAACTGATTTTGTAAAAACTTTATAGAGTTTCCTCTCCTCTTTAAAGTACCTTGTAGTAACTAGTAACACCAACCAACCAGTAGTTAATAGAAACTTAGCATCCGCCTAGCACCCAACCAAAAGTGATTCATTTGACTTTTTTGTTAGACTTGAAAGTTGTTTGCCCGTAAAAAATCTTTATTCCGATTTGATAACGCTTGCAAGCGTAAAAAAGGTCCATCGGTAGAGAAGACACGTCAAAAGTTGCACATGAAGAAATCGGAATAGTCAAAAAAGGGTTTTTGGCGTGGGGCATTAATAAAATACATTCATTCTGAAAACTTAGTCAGTCTTTTTCCGCATATCCAATTATGTTTGCTTAGTATACTTGCTAAACTTCTGTGCAAGGGAGATTAGACGTACGTACTTTTTCCTATTAAAATTGAAGTCTAGCTCATCTGCAACGATAGATGCAGGCTTGTTTGGATAGTTGTTTCAGGTCAGCGAATTTGGACGAAAGTCTTGCGTTCCAAATCAAATTCGAAACTTCCGTAAAATAGACAATTTTCTTAGCTTTTCTGAGTTCGACAGCTGATATTATCGTCCAAATTAGTTTTTATTTGAATTTTTTATGATTGAAACAAAAATGCGCTGCTTCTGTAACATCTGCCAGTAATTCCTATCAAGCAATTTTTTTTGAAAATTGAACGAATACGCAAAACGAATCGTCAAACCGGCCAAATCATAAAATTTGATAAATTATTTTTAGATCCTTAATTTATTAAAAAGCTATCGATTTTCCCTACATTTTGTATGCCATTAAAGTATTGCCGTAACTTCAAAACATTATAATTTTAAAATTTTTCAGGTCCAAATATGTGGTTGTTTTTACTCGTTTTACTGTTCCATTCGACTGTGATGCCTTCACTTGGGAATGAAATAGCCCACGAGCAGAGGCTTCTCCAGTTCCTGGAACAAAAAATTTCAAAAAACACTGTGCCCCTCTCTCTTGAAAATCAAACAGGGATACATTTATAAAAATAGGCCAAAACTTATCCAAATTCATACCTCGTTTTTTAGATTGAAGAGTAACTAGTCCACGTGTCATTCGAAGTGGAATTATGGGACGCAATCATCCCCTCAGATAAAACTAGTAAAAGCACAGTTGTTTTCTGAATAAATAATAGTACATTTTACGGTTTTTGTAAGTCTTATTTCTAACAGATTTTTGAGTGATTGCGTTTTGTAAGTAAGATAATTATTTAACAGGTTTTTTTTTCTATCAGCATATTCAATTTATCCCTGTTTCTGGACAAACTCTGTTTAGTCTTCATGATCACCGATCTGTTCCAAATCATAGAAGTGGATGAGCGCAGTAGTACCTGGACAGTAAAAATGTGGTTTTTCTTCTACTATAAGGTGCCGTCAGCTCGGTGGGATCCAGCAGACTACAATGGCACATGGAGTATTAACATTCCTGATAATATGTTTTGGAAACCTCAGATTTGTTAGTTCTTTTTCCGAACATAATTTGGAGCTGAAGTGAAATGCTTTATCAACGTTTTGGCTATTTTTCATAATTTTAAAAGTTTATTTAAAAATCATGATTATTAGATAAACAAAATTTACGTTGATTGTTGATGCTTATTTTTAAATTTAATGGCCCGTCTGGTAAGCGTTTTGTATTCAAACCCAATGTAGAATAAAAAACATGTCTTCGAAGGCTACCGGGATGGTGTTTTGAGCTTTAATTTTTTTTGAGTAATTATTCCAACACTGCCTATGGGGAAAACCGCGCGCTATTTTTTCGACTTATTCAACACAACAAATATGAACATTGTATGTAATAAAGGTTTTTTATTTTGAATTTGATTTTGAGTTTCGAAACAAAATCACAAAAACTGCTTGTATCAAGGCGAAGCCTTGATTAGAAATATGTCACTCAATGGGCAGTCGGGAAGATAACGGGCAGTCGGAACCTTCAAAATTTTGTCTTGATATGAGATTTTGCTTTGCTTCAATGATTTAAGATGATTTTTAAATTTCACAAAATGAAAGATTTCAAAGCAAGCGAGGTCATTTCAAATGTAACGTGGAAGATCATTCAGAAAAAAAAACCGGAAACACTTTTTATTTTACACTCAGCCGACATCTTTGTTATTATTGGCTGCATGACTTTAGTTGCCAGAGAAAGAGTTGAAACAAAAGAAATAGTAGTCGACCCGCAAACAGTACTCGCTGATGGATTGGTGAACGCCTTGTCCACTATTGCAACTCGAAAATTCACCTGTATTTTTGACGTGGCAAGATTTCCATTCGACGAGCACCGCTGCATCATCAGAGTTGAAGGGTGGCAGTTTGAAAGTGCTGCATATCAGCTGAGTAAGGCCGTTTACATTGTATTTAATATCAGAAAATTCAGTTGACTCATTACCAAAATTTCGAATTCTGAAATTGATTTTGAACAGAAATTTCCAACACAGAACTTCAGACCGATTGGACGTTTCTGCAGTTGATTTATTACACAGATCACGAGCAATGGGAGTTAGTTGCCGGCAAATCGGTCATAAAGGAGGCAAGTTCGAGCTAATTTATTTTAACTACGAAAAAAAAGATCGAGGTTTCAGATTTGGTTTCGACCAAGGCGGGTTGAATGACTTAAAAATTTTTGGTCGAGCAGTAGTTTTTGTCCAATAAAAATTTTAAGAACTCAGACTCTAAAATTGGGTAAGTTTTAACATAAATACAGGCACAAAATCAAAACATGAAGCCGATTTCAAAGTCGAAACATAAAACGAAAGGCAAAGTCCAACGCAAAGTGACCACATACGAACACAAAACGAACTCGAACCCACTCTCGAAACCTTCTCGAACCCACAATCGAAGCATACTTTTCTTCTTAAGTTTCCATCGAAGTTTTGAAAAAGATTATGAATAGCTCTATTTTAGTTCGACTACAGTCGGGCTCAAGAAAAACCTATCCATGATTTATATTAAAAGTCCGAACCCGAGTTGGTGGCTCCTAAAAACAGCACACTTCTTTTATTCTGACTTCTTGTTTTATATTTGCTAAAATCAGATAAAGTTTTTTAAAAAAATGATTATCGGTCATAAACTATAACTTATTTCAATACGGATAAATCTGCTGTTGATAAGCTCAAAACTTTTTTTGAGGTTTTCGAAGCAAGTTTGATAATTCATCATAATGTAACAACAACGGAAACAGATTCATATTATATCTTTGCTCTTCGTTAAAATTAGTGGTTAAAATTAAGACAATTCAAAGGGAAGTTAAGTTAACTTCCCGCACTGGAATTCCATGGATAATAATCGATTATATTGTCATTTTTTAGTCAGTATCCATAAAATTTACAAAATTAATAGATTATAATCCATCAAAAATGGATTATAATCAAATTATTTTTTGAATCAATATAATCCATTATAATCAATTAGAATTGATTGTAATCCAAAGACAATGGACTATAACCATAATATTTTTTATCAATATAATCCATTATAAAAGATTATAATTGATTATAATGTATTTTTAGGAGAGTTTATGAATTTTGAATTGTTTTTCACATTTATCTCATTTACTGTTTCGTGCAGTTGCTATGTATGGCGTTTCGCAAACTTTTACTTTCCACATAACATTTCTTCTATTTAAAATTTCTCTACTTTTTCTATTTTCTATTTTACGTAAGCTCCATAAGCTCCCTTAACAACCCCCTTCCCCAGTTTACCCCACCCCACCCCCACACACACGCAGTTTACCCCTCCTCAGTTAACCCCCCCCCCCCTCTTTTACCCCTCCTCAGTTTATCCCCCCTATTTTATTTAACTTTCCCCCACGTTTACTGATTGTGGGCGAGGTAAAAAAATTGGGGTTGAAACAACAAACTTGCTTTGGTGAGGGGAATAAACTGGAGAGTGTGGGTAAATAGGTGTTGTTTACGATGAGTAAAGCCCATCCTATCCCTGTTCAATGGTAAAAAATTTGAGGGGGTGGGGGTAAACTGTAACTTTGGGAGAGGGGGGGTCAAATGCTGGTGCGGGGGAGAAAGGGGCGAATGTGGATGGGGCAAAGTGAGGAAGAGGGTTAATTTGAGTAGCTGTAGATTATTTAGTAGGCCGTGAGTAACGCAGAAATGTTGCAAGTTTTGCACTTGTTTCTGCAAAAAAATGTTAAAATTATACTCCGTTATAATTAATTATAATGGATTTCAATTGATTATAATCCTTTAAATTGGATTGTATTTGATTGTTTTTTTTTACGGAAAAAATCAATTATAATGACCAATAATCGATTTCGTGGTCTAAATTTGCAGCAATAATGAATTATTGTGACAGCACTTTAGAGAACATTTTTGCAATTTAATCGATTAACATCCATGGAACTCCGGTGCCGGTTAAAATGAACAATCACAAGGGAAAGGACCGACGAGATGTTCAGCTTTTTACGGGGATCTATTAAACACAGCCACCACAACTTACCCCACGTCCACGCGTTCAGCTGCTACCTCAAAATTATCTATTCTGGTTGGCGTTGAACTTGGGCGTGGGGGTGTTTGGCGAAAATGTTTGGTGGGGGTCGGGGTAAACGCGGGTGGGGGAGTTGTAAAAAGGGGAACGGGGGCATAGTGGGGGGAAGCATTGGGGTTGTTGCGGGGAGAAGGGTTGAAGTGTGGGTATGTAGCGGAGGGGGTGGGAACGAGTCACAATAGTTTTTTCCATTTCTTCCATCTTATTAATTGATCTGTTCTAGAATATTCCCAAAAAGTTTTAATGCTTATGCCTCGAATTACCCCACACCTAGCGGTCCACGTTGATGCGGATAAACGACTTAACTCTCCCTGCGGTGAATTGATCAAAGAACGTTTCTGAACCCAAATGCACTTGGCATGCTCGGTCTAATTTAGATAACAATTGTATCCTGATTTCAATACAAAATGAAACAAAATCAAGCTTCAGTTTAGCAGTTTTCGAATTAAAGTCTGGGGTCTTAAAAATTTTGTTCAAGATTCAAGATTTCACGGTAACAGCAAAGACCATGGAGCTGAAATTTCATCGGCAGGTTTGCACATGGCCTATTTATACATTTGACAAAGTTTTTTTATAAATCCGCACGATGGATAAATCGCCTTGATCCTGCTAAGGATACTGTGACAATGAGTTTCGCGGGTCTAGGAATTTCCCAGGGAGCGATTTTAAATAGTGTCATAGTATCTAAATTAGTTCATTTTTCGAGTCCAGTTTCATTCTAGTTGTTGTTATTTATTTTATCTATCTGTCTGGCGCTAACTAGTATTTAAACTTCGGAGTTGTCTGTCACCTCTGGTTGACCGCCAATTCATTGTCTCCGACTAACTTTCTAATTTACGGTTACTTAACTTACTGGATTAATTTAACGTATCGAACCGTACTTTCTCATGGCGCAGCCAACAGGCCAATGTGGGGGGAAAACCCACTGGTGATTACATCATTTTGGCCCTCAACGTTCGCAGAGCCACCAATGCTATGGGAGTTTTGGTTTAACCGGTTTCAATGGGGTATAGTGGCTAAACACAGTATCAACCCGAGGAACTTTTACTATGCCAGTACGTTAACAGCAGCGCAGGGTACGGCACTACCGGAGGAAGTAGACGGGAAAGATCGAATGACGTCGGAGCAAAATCTCCAACTTGTACTTGTGTCTGAGGGAGAAAGGACAGGATGAATTGCATAAGGGGAGGCCACATCTGGATTTATCTACAACCCGGTATTCTAGGGTATTAGATTGCTATAGACACGGAGTTTAAGAAAGAACGGAATGAAACCTATGAAACCTTCCAACTATTGGCACGGAAACAACACATTGGAGAATCTTTGGAACAGTTCCACTTAGCGTTAAGCGGACTGGCCGCCCGATGCAATTTTGGAACGTTGGAAGCCAGAATTTTGCGGGATCTATTGTGAACATGAATAACAGAGAGGCCCAGAACGAGCTATGCCGTTCGACAAAAACACCAGAGGAGGTATACCGTATTGAGTTGTCATGCGAACGTGGATATAAGTATGCAAAATCATAAGGATCGGCAACCGGGGGAGCAACAACCAGCGGCACCACCGGTGGAACTGCAGCGTTTCAAATTAAGACAGAACCGGTGGGGAAAATCCGAGGAGGATACCGAAACAATAGACAGCGTGGCCGTGGATCGTTCCGAGGGCGAGCAGATATGAGAGGGGCAACATCTAAAAGGTGCTATAATTGTGATCAACCCAATTTTACTCAAGAACATCTCACTAGATGTCCAGCCAAGAATGCGACTTGCAATTTCTGCCGGAAGACGGGACATTACGAGAGAACTTGTCGGGAAAAGCGGACTAATCGGGGAAGACCGGCGGTGGGATTAATTCAAAATCAAGAGGATGTGAATGCTAGTGAGATAGGCCACGCTGAGGATACCTATTCGCAATACGAGAATTCAGTCGGTTGGGTTAACACACCGGAAAAGAGGCAACGATCGTGGGATTTGGACAGCTCAGGAGAGTATAGTTGTAATGGCTATCAAATCTCGGAGGGAAACTGAATTGAAAGTGGCTGGCGCTCGACCACCAATTAAAATAAATGGTAGGAAAACAAACGTCTGGATAGATAGCGGATCACCGATTTCAATTTTCACAGTTGGAGAGCTGAAACGGACGTTGGGCGCCGCACGCGTAAATGTGAAGGCGCCAGCACCGGCGGACGGCGAGTTCAGGGATTACGGACACAATCCTTTACGGCTGTTAGGAACGATGATCGTATCATTGGAGACGAACGGATGGTTTACTAATGCGAATGTCAAAGTATTAGAAAGAAACAGACCGTCAATTATTGGGAGAGATCTAATGCCAAACCTGTTATTGCAGATAGTGCAAAAAACCCCAGAGGAGAAGGTATTGTCGGGCCAGGGAGAACAACCGGGGGACGAAGCAGAAGGAGAGGAGGACTCATTAGATCCCTGGCAGACGTATTTCAGTAAGCAATTTAACAATCTTTTTCATAGTGTCGGAAAAATTAAGAATTATAAGGTACACGCGGAATTTTTTGAAACGCTAACGCCGATTCAACAAAAAGGACGGAGAGTGCCGATCACATTGCAAGATAAGGTTGATAAGGAAATTACTAAACTTTTTTGCAGCAAGGGCACATCGAAAACCTGGAAGAATGTTCGGATAAGTACTTTGTCTCTACGATTGTAATAACAGTGAAAAAAGATGGATCAGTAAAACTAGCGCTCTAATCCAGGGAGCTGAACAAACAAGACCACAAGAATAAATATCAAATGCCCAATATTGAAGAGCTCATGGATACTGTTGGACAAACGATAAGTGAACGAAAACCAGGGGATGTATACTTTTCTACAATGGACCTTACGTATGCGTACGGTCAAACTTAGTCCAAAAACAAGCGTCCAATGCAACTTTTCGCTAGTGGGAGGAAAATCAACGGGCACTTATCGTTTTTGAACGGGGTTCTACGGCCTCACAACCATACCAGCGGAATTCCAAAGAAAAATGGATACAATCCTCTCGGAATTTCCACAGGCATACGCATTCATTGATGACATCTTGGTTGTCACCAAATGCACTGAAATTGAGCACATCTCGGCGGTCGAGAAATATTTGCGGAAGCTAAATCGAAAAAACAT